TTATCTACATCAATTTCATTGAGCTATTGGTGAATGAAGGCACCCATCACTTGTCAAATTGGTTTCCAACAGTCCTTTTCATTATCCTTTATTTTATTCTCCCTTCTCTTGTTTCTTTTTTTGATTTATAAGTTACCATTCCTAATTTCTTTGTATTTGAAATTTTAAGAAACCAGAAACAACTAAATCTGGTCATATCTAGATCTTCGCTCTCTGTTTCAGTTGTGCCTTACCCTCTGTAAGATACTGATTCTTCCTGGGGCCAGTACTACCTTGTATGCAGGTATTACATATGATAGGTGCATTGTCAGAGGGAAAATACATGTGTGTGTACACATGTGTATGTATACACACACACACCTGCCGTATACTTTAGAAGAACGCTTCTCTTCTATTCCAATAAAAAGCCCTTTTAGCAAAGCAACATAGTAACAAGATTGGGTGCATTCAGGGTGGTATGGCCATAGACCAGAGCAACATATTGAAATGTGTACATATGTACTAGCTAAAGTCTCTTTATGTGTCAGTATTCAGAGTAATGTGTAGCCAGATTACTTAAATCTCAGAATCACTAAGCATCTGGCATAAATTCGGAGAAAATAATGACTAGAAAAATTAGTGTTATATTCGGTGTGAGAAAAGACTGTGTCTTAAAAGAATTATCAAAGCTGATACAGCACATATATAGAATTAGCCAAACGGTATAAGACAATAGAAAAAGGCTGTGGATTCTTTGAGGACATCATTATAAATCATTCTTTGTCTCAAGTTCACACTCTTAGCATAGAATATTATTGACCAGGCTGTGTGTTATTTTGAGCTCTTAACTGTGAATGGCATTCATTAAGCTCCTTTATCCTATAGATTCTATCTTTATGTTACCTGAAATGAACTATTCATCACTACTTTTTCCTCCCATCCTAAGCTTCTCATTTTAGGAACTGACATGATAAGGTGGTTCTTTCATAACTCTAATGCCATCCAACATAGCCCTGGGAGAGGCATGTTAGGTTTCAAAGATTTTCTCCGTGGAGCAAGGTGCAGTGCTAGAATATGGTGGTTGATTCCCAAACAGAGCAGTTAACTTTACTGTTGGTTCTGAGTCTCCAGATAATAATAACCGACATTTATTGAGCACTTACTGTGTGCCCAACCCTGTTATGCCTTTCTCAGGCTCATAATAAGTGTATTAGTCTGTTCTCATGCTGCTAATAAAGAGACATACCTGAGACTGGGTAATTTATAAAGGAAAGAGGTTTAATGGACTCACAGTTGCATGGCTGGGGATGCCTCACACTCATGGTGGAAGGCAAGGAGGAGCAAATCATGTCTTATACATAGATGGCAGCAGGCAAAGAGAGAACTTGTGCAGGGGAACTCCTCATTATAAAACAGTGTGATCTCATGAGACTTACTATCACAAGAACAGCACAGGAAAGTTCTGCCCCCATGATTCAATTATCTCCCACTTGGTCCCACCCACGACACATGGGAATTGTGGGAGCTACAATGCAAGATGAGATTTGAATGGGGACACAGCCAAACCATATCAGTAGGTATTATTTTATCCCCCATTTTATAGATGAGGAAACGGAGGCTTAGAGAGTTGAGTGAGTTGACCAATATCACACAGCCAGTATGTGATAAAACTGATTCTGACCCACACAGTTTGATTCTAGACTAGAGCCTGTGCTTCTGACTACTGTGCTATGCTGTGTATAATGTACATGGTAATCTAGTCAGCTGTTTAAAAATATGTAGCCCTTGTCATGAGAGGTACTGGGGAAGAGAATATGCAGTAGAGTGCAAATACATTAGAATTACTGGTAAATTGGTTGAAAATGCCCTTTGGGGTTATAGTTATATCATTTTTAAGTGCTGATGCTTTGTAGTACCATAAAACTAAATTGTGCAAACAAAACATATTTAACAGAGTAACTGGGAGGATAAAGCAATAATAAATTCAAATATAATTTTTCTCTAAACTGCCAAAGGGAAAGTAGAATTGTGGAGGGAAATGAAATATCCATGTACCAGGCCAGGCAGATGGTCAGTTAGGATAACAATAGTAAGTTCATCTGCAGCATAAAACGTGAAATGCTTTCAACCTCATTGCCCATTTCTAACTACCATTCTATTTCTACTCTGTTGTTCATGGTTTTTCAAACATGTCTTCCGCTTTTCAACCCCCCCTTTTTCTTTAATCTGTTCTTAAAACTTCTTCTTGCTGGCTTTCATACTTAGCATTGCAGTGAAATGTTCGTAGACTCACCAGTGGACAAATAGTAAGGCCTTTTTTTTTTTTTTTTTAAATGTCCTTTTTGATCTAATTTATATTTTATATTGTTGAATTCTCCCTCCTTTGGCTTGTGGGAACCTTTTTCTCTAATATCTGGCTTTCTTTTTTTGACTGATCTTTCCACCCACTCCCCCTTCTCTTCTCCGCTGAGAATAATCTCCCTGTCTATCTTTTATTCACTTTATTTTCTGTACTCCTGTTTATCCATTTTGATTGTTTATACCTACTATTTGTATTCGAATGACTTCATTTTTCCCACCCTGTGGGTCAGTTTGTGACTTTTGGAATTTTCCACAGGTACCTGTACAACTTGATATTTGAAAACAGGATTCATCACCATATATCGCCAACTCCTGTTTTCTTTTTAAACAGGCCTCATTGCCTAATTCCTTTGCCCTGAAAAGTGTCACCACCTTTCATATTTTTACCCCAGCCTTGGAGTTATCTTTTTCTGCTCTCCATTCTCCATGTCCAAAAACTTGCTGTCAGTCTAGTTTTTAATCAGTTTTCTCCTTGAGGCTTGATCTCCCATTTCTCACATCCCATTATAGCCTTTCTTGTAGATCTGAGGCCCAGGTTACTGTAATTCTTTTTTTTTCCAATTTCCTTGCTCCCAGGATCCCCATCTTGTATAAAGTTTCCAAGGTGGTCCTCTTCAAACTCCATTTTTACAATATCTGTATTGTAAAATTTTCATTTTCACTAAGTAACACCCAGTAGATAATTTTTCCAAGGCAATCCTCCTCAAACACCTGTTTTTTACAGTATCTCTATTGTAAAATTTCATTTTCACTAAGTAACACCCAGTAGATAATTCCTGTGGAGCAGTGGTGTTCCAAATTCTCCATTACCTCTATGCTTAATATTCATCAGCCTTCATTACTCTAGCATATTCACCTTGATTCAACAGATTCAAACTTCCTACAGCCTTCTACTGATGTCTTACAAGCTCTTGCCTCTGTGCCTTTCTCATGCTATTCTTTTTGCTTAGATTACTCTTTGGTCCCAGCTCATGTTCATCACTCCCTTCAAAGCTTATCTTTATATCTTCTGAGTTAGCTCTCCCTGATTGACATCACCTTATGTGGTGACCTCCCTCATTCTGTGCTGCCTCAGCACTTATCTTTTGAGTTTATACTGTGGTCCATGTACTTATATGTTGCTTTGTAATTATTTTCTAGCACTCTGTGTTATAGTTTCATATTTGTATTTATTTCCAAAATTAAATTGTAAGCTCCTTGAGGGCAGGAATAATAACTTTTACATTTGTATCTCTGCACCCCCGAGTGCCTAGTATAGTGCTGAGCACATAGTAGGCGTTTAATAAATGCTTGTTGAAGTATTGTGTGGATTATTTGTGGTGTTATCTACAGAAATTTTTAAGCTGTTTTCAAGAATGTGTCTTACCACTTTGGGTGCTCAAAAATGTACAGACCTATTTTCATATGCTAGTATAGTATGTCAGGATCTGCCTCTACCTGAGTAAGGCCAAAAAAATTCAACTTTAGGAAATTATGTGTAAAAAGCTGAAGCTTTCCATTTGGCCAGCCTTATTGGTCAAGAAAGAAAATAAGCACTAAGACTATTGTGTTAAGGTTATAATTCCAAAAGTGCTTGAGAATAGGCTTTGGTATATGAGATTAGTGATTCTCTTTGGGAGAAATTTGGCAATGTTTGGGGACATTTTTGGTCATACCATTGGTGGGCAGCTGGGATGTTACTGGCCATCTAGTAGGTAGAGGCTGGGGATGCTGCTAAGCATCATGTTTGCACAGGACAACCCCACCCCCCACATTGCCCTGCCCCTGCCCCTGCCCCTGCCCCCACCCCACAAAGAATTATCTGGCCCAAAATCCTTAATGCTGAGGTTGCGAGACTTGATATATTTAAGGTAAATAGGAGAAAGAGATATGAAGTACTGGCAATATAATTAGAAAAAGTAGCTATTCCAAGCTTTAAGAGAATCCTAAGTGTGTGCATATTTTGTGGTGTTTAAGACTACAAAAGAAAAAGAAGACTTAGTGTTTGGCATTCACAGCAACATATGTCAGGGTATTGAGAAACAATAAAGTTATTGATGATGTTTTAAGGTTGCTTTCAGCATCAGACCTGCCATCATCTCTATGCCAAGTGTTTCAGCATACAAGTGTTACAGAAGTACTAGTTTTAGTCTTCCACATCTTGATTCATTATAGCATCAACGGTAAAATGCTGGGGGCTGTCTCTTTAGCAGAGGGGCTATAACATCAAAGATTTATCCTTGAGGTCAACGTACGACCCTCAGTCCCTTGGACAGCCACTAGGCAGGAATTACCAGCACACCAAGGAAACCACAAGCCAGAATATTGTCAGTTTGCCAAGTAAAACCATTCCAGCTTTACTTGTTTTTAACATAGTTTTTAACATACTGTGTTAATCCTATTTAGGAAGGCAAATATGTAGGAGGAAATGTGATTTCCTAAATTAAATCGTTAAAAAGTAGGCCTTTAGAAGCACTAGCTTCCTTTTGCCGTTCAGTGGTACTAAATCCAGCAGGTTTAGAAAGGTTCAACCCCTGGGTGCAGTGGCTCATGCTTGTAATCCCAGCACTTTGGTAGGCCAAGACAGAAGGATTGCTTAAGGCCAGGAGTTCAAGAGCAGCCTGAGCAACAGCAAGACTGTCTCTAAAAAAAAACTTAAAAAATAAAAAAATTAATCAGGTGTAGTGGGATGCGTCTGTAGTCCCAGCTGCTCAAAAGAATATGGTGGGAGGATCCCTTGAGCCCTTGCAGTGAGCTGTGATTATGCCACTGGGCGAAAGAGGTCTCAAAAGTTCAACCCAAGTTAGAAAATCAGTTTAAATGTGTAATACACCAAAGAAATAACTGCTTGTTCTGTCATATTTAAATATTCATAGTCTAGAATGCTAAGTTTAGTGTTCCAATCCATTATTCTGTAAATGGAGGCTCAAAGAGGCCACTTGGTTAGGTTTCCTGGGGCTTTGCCCATTCTCCCCTAGTTATGCTCTCAGATGTGACCCTTGTATATTCTTAATTCATGCTCTGCCATAAGATGGATTCAAACTTTGTGCCTCCACCTCTAATGTTTTGTTTTACGAATTACTCCTTTTATCAGCTTTATATTCAAGCCAGTATATTTACTGACTACAGTGTTTTGAGTTAAATTCTTTCATAAATAATTGAATAGCCGGAGAAATTTTGCAGTATCGCAGTCATGTTTTGAAAAGATTGCTCTTGGTTCTTGTCTCTAATCTTTGAGAAAGCACACAGGATATAGTGTGTTGGCTTTCAGATCACTAATAAGACCAGATTTCTGTGGCCCCGTTTGTCGGTTTAAGGGATCCTGTAGGGCCCACACGAGATATTTCACCAGCTGTACTATCTTTAAATTCCAACATACACGGGTGGTCGTGCCCTGGATAAAACTCAGGAAGCAAAAACAACCTTCGGGAGAGGTGAGGTAGGAAGTCATAGCATTGCCGACGGTCCAGAGCAAATCGCTCCCGGTCTAGACCCCGCCCGTACCACAGCCTGGACAGGTTGAGGTTTCAACCCCTCTCTGGCAAACTCGGGCGCAGCCAGGCCCCGCCCAGAGATTTCCGGGGCACGCCCCGGAAGTGCTGAGAGGGACTTCCTGCGGCGAGGCCTCGGAGCTGGCTGCTGCGCACAGGCAGAGAAAGGCTGGTATGCATCTGGGTGCCGCTTGGGTGGGTGTTGCACAGCTGCAACCCCTCAGACCTCCTCTCTCCGCGCCTGCCTGGGTGGAATGTGAGCAGGAACCCCAGGAGAGGCAACCCCTCCTGGGACAGTGGGGATTGTATGCAAATGCAGTCTTCCAGGAAAGGGTTTTTCCTCGAGATTTAGTGCTGCAGGGGCCCAGAGTTGGGATACTTCCCTTTCAGTTACAACCCTGGTCTTTACTGCCGTCTTCAGAACTTCATTGAGCACCAACTACAAGTGTGCTTCTGGTACCAATTGGTATCACTGCCCACCAGATCTTCAGCTTTTTCAAACAAAAGGGGGAAATTGCAAAGAATTGGAAATAAGTGTTCGGTGCTCTAAATTCAGGAGAGGCTTGTTCTACCACTTAATTGTCCCCGTGACATTTCATTTTGAATGCAGAATTCGTTCTCTCTGTACTTCAGCTTGGCAGTAAATGGCTACCCTTCCCTTTAACAGTCACCTCCATCCACGCCAGGACCACCTTACAGCACCCTTAATGCTGTTCTCTCATGAGCCCTTCCACTATCCCAACCAGTGCTCAAAGGCAATGGGAAAGATTCCCACTGCAGACCTGCTGCCCCAGCATGTGATCTGAGAGCCCTTTGCAAAATAGCTCCTTATTTAGCATTGCACTTCTTTCCCCCCAAAACCCTTAGTAGTGTAACACCTATGGCAATCTTTGCTTTTTCTTTGAGTAAAATAATTTTTCTTTTACAGAAGTGTTCTTGAAGACTCTTCAATTACAGGAAAAGACGCTTGACTGCATCTTTAGAGGAGTTGGTTTCGCTGGTTCCAAGGATTCTGTTAATGAGAAAACTCCACAGGCCAGCATTCTGTAAGCTGGCTCCAGCAGTCCAGTTGACAGTGGCTGAGGCCAGTTCCTGATCATCCTATCTGAGGAACACCAGGTCTGGGAGAGGGAGCAGTACTGACCAGGGGAGGGAGGGAGGATTTTCCTTGGGGAAGTGGCTAAGCTGGATGATTTCAAGGAATTGAGTGAATCCAGAGAGCAGGTGGGGAGAGATACTATCAAGTTATCTTAAAACTTTTGGTCCCTTAGGGATTCTTCCCTTTTTTCCCCTACTTTTTAAGCACGTAAGTCAGAAGCCAGACTAACTGTGATTTTGTCCAAGTCATTTTATCTTTCTGTGCCTATATGCCATCTGTCAATGGGGATAGTAGAAGTACCTGTCTAGAGTTGTTATGAGGATTACATGAACAGTACCTGCTACATAGGAAGTGCTATCCAGGTATTTGTTGTAATTATTTCTTACTCTCCTTACCTCCCTGGGATTAGCTTGTTCTGCTGATTTATTCATTTCTACAGCGATTCTTTCATAAACTCATGTGTTTATTTTTTTTCTGGTCCCAGCTCTTGGATACAGTCAGGAAGTAGGCAAGAAATGCCAGCTCTGGAAGCAGAGGGAGAATAAGATATTCTCTAGTGCCATCCAGGAATATGCCACTGAGGTGTCAATGACAGACTCTTCCCTCTACAGAAGAGTTGTGCTAAACTTGGCGTTTTGTGGTCTTCTGGGGATTCTGGAAGTAAGGGACCTGAGGAGACTTTAAAACAACTGCTATAGGATAGGATCAGGATAAGTGAGTTGTGAATGCTTAGCAGAGTCTGATTAAGTTCAGAGTGAGACTGGAGCAGGAGAGAATACAGCTCAGATCTGCCATTTCCACGTTTTTTTTTTTTTATCGTTCAGGAGCTTCATTTTGGCTGCCAGTTTTCAGAAATAGAAATTGTAACTGTATTTCCATTTTTTTGTCTTTGACTTTACTTAAAGTGCTTTTGTTTGTTTGTTTTACCTCACAGGAGTTTTTATTCTATGTGGGTCAAGTTTATCAATCTTTTCATTAATGACCTCTGGATATCGTCTCATAGAGGGGGGCGTTTCTTTTTTGAGATGGAGTCTCGCTCTGTCACCCAGGCTGGAGTGCAGTGGTGCGATCTCTGCTCACTGCAACCTCCGCTTCCCGGGTTCAAGCAATTCTCCTGCCTCAGCCTCCTGAGTAGCTGGGATTACAGGCATGCACCACCACGCCCGGCTAATTTTTGTATTTTTAGTTGAGACGGGGTTTCACCCTGTTGGTCAGGCTGGTCTCAAACTCCTGACCTTGTGATCCACCCACCTTGGCCTCCCAAAGTTCTGGGATTACAGGCGTGAGCAACTGTGCCCGGCCAGGAGGAAGGCCTTTCTATTCTGAGGTTATAAAGGACTCACCTCATGTTTTCCTCTGGTACTTTTATGGTTTCATTTATAACATTTAAAACTGGTTTATTTGGAATATATCCTGGTTTATAGAGTAAGGTAGAAATCTAATTTACCATCTTTCCAGATGGTTATCCAGTTCTCACCATGCATTTGAAGAGTTCACTTTTTTTTTTTAACTTATTTGCTACCTTTATTGTATGCTAAATGTATGTGCCTATTTCTGAGCCTTCTGTACCATTTTCATGAGTACTACACACTTTAAGTATTAAGGCTTTGTAATATGTAAGTTCTTTAGGATAAGTACCCTTCTTTCTCAGTTTCCCCAGGTAGTCCTGCATGTTTAGTCTTCTAGGTGAACATTAAAATCTTCTAAAAAGTTGATATTTTCATGGAAATAGTGTTGAATTTACAAATTAATTTGGAGATTACTCTCTGAGTACTAACCCCTGAGGAGCCATAAAGTGGCTTAATCTGGGAAGCAAGCCCTAGATTGAAATTTCATCTTGGCTGTTTTAACAGGTGCCTGACCTCGGAAAATTTATTTGCTTCTCAGTTTTTATATATATGCGAGAAGGACTTGAATGTCTGCCCTGTAGGATTAAATGAGATAAAAAGCATAAAATGCCTTCTTGGAGTAAGCGATCCTTTCTTCACACGGTCCATTCTGGCCAGCTCACAAACCACTGAGAGGGAAGCCTCCAGGATCCTAGAGTAGATGACCAGATGCCCAGGCGCACAATCTGTGGAAGTGAAAGTCAAGCTTTCTAGGGCAACAGCTGTCCTCAGTCGCTTGGTCAGATAGTCTAATCGCAGTTTTTCAGGTGAGTTCCCTCTTGACTTTCTTCTAGGGTTTTGCTTATGCCCTGGGGTGGACACCCTCGGAGGATGGGAGAAACTATGTACTGTGCCAGGTCGCCTCAGGCCTGCCTTTTCCCTCCATCCTTCCCCACCCCTCCCCTCTTCCACCCACTTTCTCACACTCCTCCTCTTTTCTCTTTCCTCCCTTTTCCTCCCTCTCCATCATCCTCCCTCTTATATTTCTTTCCCTTCACTACCCCATCTCCTGCCTGGCCCTTCTGCACTGGCAGAGTAGACCCTCAGAAACCCTGGGAGAGAGGATGGCTGGGGCAGGCTGATGTCTTGAGTCCTGTCCTTGGCTGTCTCTGAGGCTCTTAAAACTCCTAATTAGAGGAGTGACTCCGACTTGCTTTTCTGACAGGGCTAAATTTGCGAGAGTGGGGTGCAGGTATGGAGACCTTATTTTCTGTTGGTCTGGATCCTCAGTTCTGCTTTGTGTTGGTTTTTGTTGGTAATGTTGTTGTTTGTTTGTTTTGTAGAATATCATTCAATTGGGATTTAACTGTTTTTGTCATTATTATACTGAGGTTATACATTCTGGGGAGGAAGGCCACAAAGTTGAAGTGCCATTCTCATCATATCAAGGGTGCATACTGTTAACTTATAACTGTCGAGACATAAAACAATTTGTAAGGTGGAAGAAAGCAGAGAGGGGTAATTAGTGTAATTTGAGTTGGAAGCAAAAATTTTATCAAGTTTGGACACAAAACTAGGTTTGTTCCCAAGAAAGTAGCAGCCATCCATTTTCTTTGGAGAGGTGAAGGGTTTATTCTGTCACAATTCCAGCAGAGACAAAGCATCCCTGTTGCTGAGATACTGTTTATCATAGCAACAACAGCTGCAGAATTAGTAGTGGCATAGCAATGAACAGAGCTTTTTTCGTCCCCATGTCTCTCTTCCATCTCAAGTAGTATGGACTCCTGTGGGTGGTAAAACATACCTGTTAATGGTGTTATTGTCATTTTTCCAAACTTCTTATCAGTTGAATTTGTTTCTATTGCCATTTCTATTCCCATACTCCTTCATCTGCTCTATCTGCAAATCTCTTGAGTTTCTGTCTTGTTTTCCAATTTAATTAAATATGATTCGCCTTTAAAAGTAGGAACTATATATTATTTTTATATTTATTTATATTCCAGATTGTATGTGTATGTTTTAGATGCCTTTATAGAGGATATTTTATTTATGCATATATATTTTTTGAGACAGGGTATTGCTCTGTTGCCCAGGTTGGAGTGTAGTGGCGTGATCACAGCACACTGCAGCCTCAATCTCCCAGACTCAAGTGATCCTTCTGCCTTTGCTTCCCAAGTAGCTGAGATGATAGGCGTGTGCCATGAAGATATATTTAAATAGCCGTTTGAGTCAGATATTCATTCCAGCAGTTCTTTGATGTTACTGAGACATGATACAGGCTGAATGAAAACATTTTATGTGAGTGCCATATGATTGGCGTGTCCTGGGATTACTGAACGTGTTTGAGAGCTCTAGTCTATATCATATTATATTGCTTTAGCAACAGGAATAAAGCACATTTCAAAGGTCTCTTTATTATTTTAGGATTCAAGGCCAGAGGTGTGAACAAGGTGTCAACTCTGAAGGGCTGAAGGGAAGGTTTTTCTAAGGATGGACCCACACCAGAAGGTCCCTAGCATATATAATGGGGATACTTTACAGACTCCTGAGTATGAAAAAGTCTCTCAGTATGAGGACCAGTTAGAAAGGCATGAGGGTAGGCGCATGGAAGAAAGACGGTATAAATGCAATGATTGTGGAAAGAAGTTTGCCCAGAGCTCAGGCCTTGTTCGACATCACAGAATCCACACTGGAGAGAAACCCTATGAGTGTGATCACTGTGGAAAAGCCTTTAGCGTGCGCTCAACCCTTACTGTGCATGAAAGAATCCACACTGGTGAGAAACCTTATACTTGTAATGAGTGTAAGAAAGCCTTCAGTGTAAGGGCACACCTGATTATACATCAGAGAATCCACAATGGAGAGAAACCCTATGAATGTAATGAGTGTGGCAAAGCATTTAGTGTGAGCTCAGACCTTATCAAACACCAGAGAATCCATACTGGTGAGAAACCTTATGAGTGTGATGAGTGTGGAAAAGCTTTCAGTGTGAGCTCAGCCCTCATCAAGCATCAGAGAATCCATACAGGAGAAAAGCCGTATGAGTGTAAGGAATGTGGGAAGGCCTTCTATGTGAACTCAGCACTTATTAATCACCAGAGGATTCACTCTGGAGAAAAGCCCTATGAGTGTGGAGAGTGTGGAAAAGCGTTCAGCCAGATCTCAACCCTTATTCATCACCAGAGAATCCATACTGGAGAGAAACCATATGAGTGTGAAGAGTGTGGGAAAGCTTTCCGTGGGAGTTCTAATCTTACTAAACACCAGAAAATACATGCCAAAGGAAAGTGTCATCAGTGATTTATGTGGCAAATATATTCCAAAGGGTTTTTGTTACATCAGAAGATACCATCGAAAGAAGAGTATGGTTAAAGTTAATCCCTTAATTGACACTTCATCCTTGAAATACTGAAGTGAGAAATCACTGAAAAGTAACTCCATCAGCATTGTTTCTAAGGCTCTAAAATCACATCTACTTCTGAGAATGTAATTTTGCAACTCATAAGGTAAAGCCATTTAAAAACCATATAGTATATAATGTAGTTTATGTTGGCTTAGAGCAAACTAGCAATTCAAACATTTTCCTCTTATGAGCAAGCCTTTTTTTTTTTTTTTTTTTTTTTTTTTTTTTTTTTTTTTTTTTTTTTTTCGCTCTGTAGCCAGGCTGGAGTGCAGTGGCCGATCTCAGCTCATGCCAGCTCCGCTCCCGGTTCACGCCATTCTCCGCCTCAGCTCCGAGTAGTCTACAGGCGCTGCACCTCGCCGGCTAGTTTTTTGTATTTCTTAGTAGACGGGTTTCCGTGTTACAGGATGTCTCATCTCCTGACCTCGTATCCCCCTCCCTCCAAAGTCTGGGATTGGCTTATGAGCAAGCCTTTTGTTGTTGTTTTGTTGCTGTTGGTGTTATAGATAAAACATTAGATTTTGACATTGGAAGCAATTGGTGAGAGAGGAAGGACATATCCTTAGTTGAATCTGGAAAATACCAACCCATTTATCTTTCTTTGCCTTTGATGTACCACTGTGCTCTTAGGATGATTAGATGTGTTTGTGACTTCTTGGCAGAAGGTAGAGCATCTTTTTAGGTAGGAAACCCAACAGATAATTTTTCAGGGAGATTCTTGCATAGTCAAAAAGCCTTAAACCTTTTTTGACTTACTGACTCAATAAGCTTTTGAGTTTGACTGAGGTTCCTCAACCAACGCAAACAAAACAAAGACAAAAACTTCCCGAGGAGATTTAAGTATTTCTGACTTCTGACCCTTGCTCATAGCTGATCATAGCTCACTGCTGTGTGTGGTGTCGTATATGCAAAGGCTCAGAGGTATAATAATGGGACATTTGGGGAATTTTTCGAGGTTGGTGTTGGTTTTAGGATGACTATGTGAAGCTTGATACCTAATGTCAACCAAGAATACTCAGATTTGAGAGGTGAGTTTGATTTTGAAAATGTTTTTGCTTTGTCTATGGGAATCGCACTAGAGCTGTCCACCAGACCGTGATCTCACTTCCTAACCCTAATCTCCAAAGCCTGTATTTGCACATGTGAAACTCAGGAGAGAAATCTGGACTTTAAAATTACTTTGTTACTATTTTTCTTTCCTTTTTTTTTTTTTTTTTTTTCCCTTTTGAAGCAGGATCTTGCTGTATCATCCAGGCTGGAGTACAGTAGTGTGATCCCACCTCACTGCCGCTTCAGCTTCCTGGGCTCAAGTGATCCTCCCATCTCAGCCTCCCAAATAGCTGGTTCTACAGGTTTGCACCACCATGCCTGCTAATTTCTTATTTTTTGGAGAGACAAGGTCTTACTATGTTACCCAGGTTGGTCTCCACTTCCCCTGCTCAAGCGATCCTCCCGCCTTACCCTACCTAAGTGCTGGAATTACAGGCATAAGCCACCGGGTTAGGCTGTTTTTCTATTTTAACAGTGATTTCTCCCTCGTGAGTAATAGTCCTGAAATTTTTTATTCCTGAAATTTAATTAATGTGAGGTTCAAGATGAATATGCCAAATTGATAGAAATTACAAATAGCTTTAGTGGTTCACATTTGGAAGAGATTATAGAGAACGCTCTCTGGGAAGGTGAAATGTTGTTCACTTCTCAGAAAGAGGCTCTGTGTTGCAAAGGGATGCACAGTTTCCATGAATTATCCTAATCAGCACTTCAGGCAAGTCAGCTGTAAAACACACTGGACCTCATGAAGCTCTGAGCCAACTTGTGACCAGAAGGCACTAAGGTCAGAGATGCATGTGGAAAAGCACATGATGAAGCCTCTGGTATTGGAGTAGTGCCTACAGCCCTGCCCAAGGCCTGGATATGGGGATTGAAGGCAAAGAAGATCATGGTTCTGGAGCTCACATTGAGGAAATGGACCTTACTCAGGGAATTGGGCACATTAGAGAAGTTAAAACACATACTGTACTTATAGCAGAAGTGAAGGGCTTCAAGAAGTTCTCTTTGCATTGCTGACTTCATGTGTGAATTCTTTTGCCCTGCTTCTTCCTGTCTTTGACAATTGAAGGAGACTAGGTTTTCCTTTGTTTGACCTGTCACCCCATTTCTGTGCTGTTATCTTCAATGTTTTTAATGTTTATCTTTCTAACCCCAGCTATCTTGGTTTGTTTCTAGAATGGAAGTTTACAGACAGTCATCTGGGTGGAGGACACCCTTTTGGAATCAGCACTGAATGTGATGCCATATCCCACTCCAAACCAGCACAACTATAAATATTAAGCAGTGAGTGGTATTCTGAAGACTTTGAAGGAGGAGCTATTTCTGAAAATAAATTTATTTTGTTGAAGAATTTAACCATTAAGCAGTCAGGATATGTGTACTGTGGTTATTCCTTTTGAGCTCAAAGTAAGGTACTAGTGATTATTTGTTTTAGGTTGGGTCTTGTGCCAGGTGCTAGGAATACAAAAATAAGTGAAAAAAAGCACCCTAATCTCAGGGGACTCGCAGGCTATTTGGTGACAGGGAGAAGAGAGTAGATAGAAAACAACGAATACTGTGATAAAGCCACTGGATTTGTAGAGTACTTTGCACTGAAGAAAGTTTAACAATGACTCACGAAAACAATTGGAAAGGCTTTGGAGGAGGACGAAAGTTTGGAGGAAAAAAAATGAGTTCTTGAGCCATATGATAAAGAGGAATGAGGGAAGGTACAGTGAGAATAGCATGTGAAAAAGCACAATGCATCTGGGGGTAAAGAAGGAAGTTTTCATGGACCTTGATTATATTTCAAGGATCATAGAATATGCATATGAAAGTAGTATATTATGACCAGACCATGACATTCTTTGTTCTGCTAAGAAGTGTGAAGCATATTCTTTAGACCAGTGTTTCTTCAAACATTTTGTGCAGTAAAAAACCCATTTTATGTTGTCACTCAGTGTACCATTTTTGGGAGAGACCATCCTCCTTGGGCCTTGCACTCCTACATGTCTTGTTGGGTGTGCCAACATTGCAAGGGCATAGCAGCTCTTACTCAGGCCACTTTTTATTGTCATGCAGCTAGTAACCTTGAAAGATGAGGTGACATCTCTTGGACTAAGAGTAGGTTAGCTTCCTTGCTTACTTATTACTGTCTGGTATTCTTTTGGAAAGTTCTGTTCAATTTTTTTACATGTTTATAGGAATTATTTACATATTCTGGATATGAGCTCTTTTCAAAGAGGATGCAAATATTATCTCCATCTTTATAGCTTACCTTTTATTCTCTTAATGGTGTCTTTTGATGAAGATAAGTTTTTAATTTTAATATAGTCAAATTTATCAGTCTTTTTCTTTCGTGTGTGTCTTGTGTCTTTTGTATAATTCTTTCTCTCCCTTAAGATCAAGAAGATAATCTCGACCATTCTAAAAAGTTTTCTAATTTGCTTTCTCATTTGTATCTGTAATCCATTTGAAATTTATTTTTCTGCCTGAGTGAGGTAAAGTCTAATTTCATTCTTTTCCCATATGGATATTCTTTTCATCCTTCATCACTTATGGGAATGCCTGTTATTTCCCACTGTTCTACAGTGCCAATTTGTCATTAATTAATTTTCCAAAAATGCATGGATCTGTTTCTAGTTTCTCTGTTACGTTCCATTGCTTTATTTGGCTCTCCCTGCATCAATATGAGATTTTCCTAATTATTGTAGCTTTACATTGTTCTGGTATCCAGTGGAGCAAATCATCCTACTTGAAGAGTCAGACTCCGTGCCAAATTTTATGTGTCATTTTTCAGGCCCAACCGTAGGCAGTTACAAAGTCCGTACACCTCATGAAGGAAAGCTACGCTTCCCATGCCAGACTTGGGGCACAGCCAATGCATTGCAGTCTCTGAAGAAAGTTGCAGTCAAGGACCCAGACCCCCAGCCCAGCCATGCTGTTAGGCATATCTGCATACCAAGCACCTCTATTTGGAGGTCTGTTTATTGGTGGCCTCCTCTAAACAATTCTGAGACCTTTTTACTGGGATCAGGAACCTTGATGCCACTTGTCTTCACTTTCAGTATTTAGTACTTTTCCAGTCCTAGCAATTTTCACTCTTTCTCCTACCAGCCCTTAGGCCCATAAAATGGATGGAGCCTTTTATTCAGGTTTGTCTTAGTAGTGAGATGATCCCCATACTTGGCTGATTCTTTTGACGCTTGCTTGACTCTGTTCCATGGGTAAGAATGTAACACTGCAGGAGCCAGCACTTTTTCCTGCTGAGCCTCTTGCTAATGCTACTGCTGATCGAAGGCTTGACTGATACCTTATCGTTTTGGCATGTTTTAACTGACCACCACAACACCTGACAGCTCAGTTCTTTCTGCATCAGCTTAGTTCTTAACACCACCTTCTTCTCCTGCTTCATAAGTGTCTTGGCTGTTCCTGGTTCTTTGCATTTACATATAAATTTTAGAATCAGCTGTCAAATTTGACCCACTCCCTTCTAAAAAATTATTGGGATTTTGATTGAGAGTGTATTGAATCTATAGATTAATGGGGAGAATCAACATTCTTGCATGAATTTTCTAATTCATGAACATGGTATAGCATTCCATTTCTTTAGGGTCTTAATTTTTCCCAATAATATTTTATGGTTTTCTGTGTTGGTCTTAATGATCTGTATTAGATTTATCTCTAGACATTTGACATTGCTTCCATGTAATTGTTAGTAGTGTCATTTTTTAAAATTTACTTTCTGTTTACAGAGACTTAGCATTGATTTTTATATATTGACTTTGTAGCCAGCATTCTAACAACATATAGATATTTTTGGTCTTTACATATACCATTTGCAAATAATGACAGTTGTATTTCTTCCTTTCAAATTTTTATACTTTTTTTCCCCCTTATTACATTAGTATGACCTCTACTACCATGATAAAAAGAAGTGGTAATAGTTGGCATCGTTGTCTGGAAGGCCTGCTGTGACCTCACCTGTAGATTCCTTTCTCCAGTGACTCATCTTGAGATTACCCTTCTCTCATACCTCCAACATTTTTGAAACTTGGATATTCCAAGCCTTTGCTAACCATTCACTTCTTTGGATACACTCAGCAGAAGAGAAATAGAAGGCTGCCAACCTCTTAGACTCAAACAAAATCATTTTCCCATTTGTTACCCTCAGAAATTGGCTCTTCCCGTCCACAGGTTCCACATCCATGGATTCAACCGTGTATTGTCAGTAGTCAGAAATAATAATAATTAAATAAATAAATAGTTATCTTGATCCTGATCTTCACAACCTGCCTTGCCTAAAAATTTAACATTTTTCACACTACCTGTATGCGAGCTAACCAGCACTAGCTGAGAAGGGTTTCACATTTTTTTGACTCTGTTTAACCTGCACAAAAACAAGACTTTAGAACAAGTCTTACTTGGTGGTTGCACAGTTCATTAAAATATTTTAGGTTGAGCTCCACTGGTAGCTGATTTCTAAAATAATAGAACATTTAAAAAATATAGTATAGCAACTATTTACATAGCATTTTCATTAAATTAGGTATGATCAGTAACCTTGAGATGATTTAAAAGTATATAGGAGGATGTGTGTAGTTATATGTAAATACCATGTTATTTTATATAAGGGACTTGTGCATGCTGAGGTGTCCTGGAACCAGTCCCCAACAGATACCGAGGAACGACTATATACAGTCAGTTCACATTACTTGCCGTTAGTTGGGTCCTATAATGTTACCACAAACACTGAATTAATGAGTACTGAACTGTTGTTCCTAGAGTTAATGGGGGGTTAAATTCCTGTGAGCCTGTACTCATAATATTTTCATCAATCCATATATCATTTGCATTGTAAACATTTGTTCGCCAACATGCTTGTGAAATAAACCAGTCCCATCAGGGTTTGAAAGCAGCTCTTCCTTGGCTGAGCAGGTAGGTGGCTTACACCTGTAATTCTAGCACATTGGGAGGACAGGGCAGGAGGATCACAAGCCCAGAAGTTTGAGACCACCCTAGGCAACATAACAAGACCCTGTCTCTCTAAAAATAAAAAATAAAAATAAATAAGGAAAGCAGCTCTTCCACATAACCCTTTTCTGTATAATACTACACAGGTGTTTAAAAAATATTCCATAGCCTTCTAATCTTTAGAACCTGTCTTGCCTGAAACTTTAACATTTTCCACACACACACTTTTAACATTTTCCACAGTATGGGAGACAGCCAGCACTAACTTAGATGGGTGTCACATGTTCTTGGTTTTTTTCTTTAATTAGTTGTCATCTCATGAATTCTCAATTTTTTTTTCTTTTTTTTTGAGATGGAGTTTCACTCTTGTTGCCCAGGCTAGAGTGCAATGGCGCAATATTGGCTCACCGCCACCTCCGCCTCCCTGGTTCAAGTGATTCTCCTGCCTCAACCTCCTGAGTAGCTGGGATTACAGGCATGCGCCACCATGCCTGGCTTTTTCTTAGCTTCATCCCACACTGTAGCTGTGACTTTTTAGCACTTTCCCTAGTGACCTCATGTACAGACGACCAAATTTTCTCTTCCTTTTTCTGGATGTACTGAATTGTTGAATCATTAACATTGTATTTATAGCCAATAGCACTATCACTCATGCATGAATGAAGCTTATCTAACACACTTATTTTCTCTGTAAGGCACATAACAGTCTTGTTGCACTTAGGAACACTAGACAGCACTTCACCACTATATTTGGGTAGCATTTTAAACAAAAATTACCCCCAAAACGGGGCACTAGTTATGCCCCAAAAGGAAACTTGTTGATAAGAGCTAAAACGAAGGCAGAGTGTCCCCTTGTTTGAACTTTTCAGATGGTATTATTTTCATAGGGTTGCCATAGTAGATTACCACAAACTTGGTGGCATGAAACAACAGAAATTTATTTTCACACTGCTCTGGAGGCCAAAAGTCCAAATTAAATTGTTGGCAGGGCTGCACTCCATCTGAAAGCTCTAGGGTACTTCCTGGCCTCTTCCAGATTCTAGGAATCCTAGGCTTGTAGCCACATCACTCAAATCTCAGCCTTTGTATTCACACAGCTTTTGTCTACTCTCTGTCTTCTCCTTTCCTATCTCTTACAGGGATCCTTGTCACTGGATTTAGGGCCCACCTGGATATTCCAGGCTGATCTTTTCTTGAGATCATAAACTTAGTAATTATCTGCCAAGACCCTTTTTTCAAATAAGGTCACATTCACAGATTCCAGGGGTTAGGACATAGACATAACTTTTTGGGGGCCACCACTCAACCTACTGCAGATGATAAATTTTTCTCTTCTCAGAAATAATTGATTAATGCACTTGAGCACTGAAGTTGAAGTTTTCTGGCAATTAGCAAAAGGGAAAATAGGTTGTTTTATATTGTTTTTTATTTGCCTAACAAAAGAAAGCAACTGTCTTTGACTGCAGAGATGAACTTTTTCCTGGAACTAAATTCAAATAAACATATTGCTTGAATCCCTGTGTAAAATATATTAAATAATAGATATTGTCTTCAACTATAGTTTTAAAAAGAAAAAATGGGTCATAGTGAACCCTAAAACAATCCCACAAAATCTTGTGTTAACTTCTATTAAATTACAACACACCTACAATATACAAATCATAAGCATACAATTTTATCACTTAAACTAAGTGAACACACTTGTGTAGCCCACACCCAGGTCAAGAAATAATATTTTCAGCCTTCCAAAAGCCTTTATCCCCATGATTCCTTGTAACACCATGATGAATTATGCCTGTTTTTGAACTTTGTGTATACCACGTAACTCCTTTGTGGCTGACTTGTTTCTTTTGACATTGTGAGATGGATCCAAGCTATTGAATATAGTTTTAGTTCATTCTCCCATGAAATTTCTAACTTAGTGAAGCATTTCTACATGATGCTAAGAGTATGTTCAGGGATTTGCTTTATATAATCTTGATTTTGATAATCAAAAGGGTTCGACTTCAAGAATCTAAATGGATGGAAAGTTAAATGATTATCAAGTAGTGTCTCTCAGATTTCACATATATTAAGCAAGTATTGGCTTAAGATTCATGATTGAATTCTGTGACAAGTATCTGTGATCACATATTCTTTATAGCTACCTCAGATTCTTTTTGTGATGGTTTAGGAGATGGATGTGTGAATAGATAGCTGAATTTTATTCTTGCCCAGCTATAAAGCCAACCCACTTCAGCATGAGCATGAGTAGTAGACGAATTTCTAAGTAAAGACAATTTGTTCCTCATGAAAAAACTCTGAATCTTCTGCATCACAGTTTGGGTGCTTAGTTGGGATTCCAAACTTCTTTATCAAAAAGTAGGAAAGCTTCAACCTGGAAGATGTTTAGAACAAGTTGCACAGTTCATTAAAACATTTTAGGTTGAGCTCTATTGATGTCTGATTTCTAAACAAACATATTTGCATTTCTGTAACTACTTCCAATCTTCCCCTTCTTTCACCTCCCATAGCACATTGTTTCTTTCTTAGAACATTCATCTTCTCTTTTGCTTTGTTTGTTTTTTTGTTTTGAGCCAGTTTCTCACTCTGTTGCTTAGCCTGGGATGCAGTGGCACAATGTCAACTCAAGGCAACTTCCAATTCCCAGTTTCAAGCGATTCTCATGCCTCAGCCTCCTCAGTAGCTGGGACTATAGGCATACGCCACCTTGCCCGGCTCATTTTTGTAGTTTCAGTAGAGATGGAGTTTCACCATGTTGCCCGGGCTGGTCTCAAACTCCTGAGCTCAGCTAATCCACCTGCCATGGTCTGCCAAAGTGCTAGGATTACAGACGTGAACCACCGCACCCAGCCCTATTTTACTTTGTATGTGTCTCTCTTGTCCTGCTCCTTTGATTGTGAGTTTTTTGACTGCAGGGATTATTATTATTCTTTATGGATTCTTTGCAGCCCTTGGTATGGCTTGAGATTGTACAAGTCATCTTGGGCTAATTAGGATCAATTAGCTTTTTGTCATGTAACCAACAACCTCCCAAATCTCAGTGGCTTGCAATAACAAAGGTTTATTCTTACTGCACATCAGTTATGGGTCAGTTGCAGCTGTGCAATACATTCTCTCTGTTCTAGGATCCAGGCTAGAGGAGCAGTCCTACCTTGAATGTGCTGCTCTTACAGCAATAGAAAAAACAGTTGTAGGACTATGTGATGGATTTAAATTAGCTACTCTGGAGGAGCATATGTCACTTCCACTTCATTAGCTAAAACAACTCAAATTACCAAGCCTAGTATCTGTGGGGTGGGGAAAATAATCCTTACAAAGAATTCAGTGTGTAATAACAATAATCTATTATTGAGATAGTGTATCTACCCTGATAGCCAATATTTATGGTATGCTTTCTATACCAGGGCTTTTCCTGAATGCCTATATATATATTTTTTTTTCTCAATGAATAACAATGCTATGAGACAGATACTTCTGTATTCCCATTTTACAGCTGAAGAAGTTGAAGAACAGAGACATTGAATAACCTGTCCATTAGGAAACGGTAGAGCCAGGAATTGAAACCAGAAGTCTGACTTCACAATCTTTTCTCTTAACCACAGTGCTGTATTATGAGAGTTTTAATCTGAAGGTTTATGTCTATGTACCATGTTGGGCTTTAAAGAGTCATGAGGTGTGCTAGTAAAAACTCTAAAAGTGAGATTGAGATTCAGGAGCCCTTGGTCTCATCCAGTCATTACCTCTGAGTAACCGTATTACCTAGGCTCATGCCCCATACCTGGGCCTCAATTTCTGTATCCTTAAAAATGAGGTAAACAGACCAGATATTCTCTGATACCCCGTCAGCTTTGAATTTCTTATCCTTTCTCCAAGTACATAGTAAAATACTTTATTGATGTTGATATGATGACCTCTTTCATCCTCTGCTTTCTATGTTATTATCTTCATAGTAGATCTTGTATCAGTATTGAATCTCCCCAATCCTCTTACTTCTATTTTACTTCTCCTGTTTTGCTTTAACGATACTACTACTACTACTACTACTGTCTACCATTTATTGAGACCTACTGTTTCAGAACAGGAAAATAAACCCAAAGAAAGCTGAAGGCAGAAAGTACTAAAGATAAGAGCAGAAATCAATGAAAAAGCAAACATATCCTTACTTAGAGCCTTCATATATAAAGAGTGTGTTTTAGGTAGGTTCTCTCTGTAGGCTACTCATATATGTTACATTAGAATTCCCCTTTCTGTCTCCAGGAAAAAGGTGCTAATTGCATAATCAACCTGTTCTTTCAGATGGTGACTCCTGGCCTTAAACAGGAGTCTGTTTCAAAGCAAGACTTTTCCAGAGGAAGTCCAACACAGAGTGATGCCCAGGGGACTAAATAGAAACATTTATTAGGGACCCAACACTGAAGAAGTTCATGGGCTTCTGAATAGTTTTCCCAAGTGAGGGGAGATCCCCTTTGAAGAAGCACAACAGACATTGCCTAAAGCTAAGGAGAGTATCACTGATAAAGGAACCTGAGACACCTGGGAGAATTTGCTCTGAAATTCAGTCCTGCCAATGCTCTGAGAGTGGGAAACCCTCCTTTCAGTTTGCGCATGATTTTCAACCTCAGCAACTGTAATAAAACAAGCAGGCTCTCAATGTAAAGTTAGTGGGAAAGTCATTTTTCTGAAAATATCCCTCCCTATTTAAAAAAGCCTTAATACACCAGCAGCCCTGACTTGAACACCAGCATGTCCAAACTGGAGGAAAGCCCTATGTTTATCTTCAACATGGAAAGACCTTCAGTGTAAACCCAAGTTCCATGAAACAACAGAGAAGCCATCCTGGAGAGGGCTTGCATGAGAGTAAAGAATGTGGCAAAATCTTAAGACACTGGATCTTGTCAGTGTCTTGTCAGACATCAGAGAGCTCTTATGGATATCTTCAGTGTGGAAGGCCTTCTGTGTGAGCTCAGTATTATTGAACATAAGTAAATTCATTTTGGACAAGAGCCTTATCTATATTCGTGGGTGTAGCAAAGCCTCAAAGTGCTGTGACAGCCTTATTAAACATCAGAGAATCTGCACTGCAGAAAAACCCTATTGGTCTGAAGAAGATAGTAAAAGGTTCATTGTGGTTCAGCTCTGGTCACCCACCAGAGAATCCACACTGGAGAGCAGCACCGTTATGAATGTAGTGTATGAGGGAAGGCCTTTATTTGGAAGCTAGCACTTTTCAATCATCAGAATGCCCATGCTGAAGTGAAAATTTATAAATGTAAAAATGTAAAAAAGCTCAATCGTATACATCAGAAAATCCACACTGGAACAAAACTGTATGCATATGACCATAGGGAAGCTAACAGTGTTAGCTCATTGCTTAAAGGGCATCAAGATTCCCATAGAGGGAAAAGCTCTTTGTAAATTATGTGGGAAAACCTTCAGTCAAAGTTCAGATCTTATCCAGCATCAGAGTCCACACTAGATGGAAGCTTTGTGACTTGGACAAATGTAAGAAAACATTTTGATGAACTCATCCTTTACTAAGCAACAAAGGATACACAACAAAAATGGACCTCAATAATCAAATATGTGGTAGAGAGATAGTAATTTTTCAACATCATCTGTCATGATTAAGGAAAAGACCATTAAATAGAAGTGGTGACAGTAAAAAAAAAAAGACCAAATGCATATTATCACTTTGACATTATTTTATGGAATTAAAGACAATTGTTATTAGAAGAAGATTGGCATGTCACTTCATGGGCAGAGTTGAAGAATTAATCTGTGACCAGTCTCTATGGATATTTAACTGTCTTTGATACTATTAACTTTTTATTTTCTGTAGTAGAGGTAGAGAGTAGAGGGTAAGTCTTTATAACTAATCATGTAACTATAACCTGGATAATCCAAACATTATTGACTATATTGTTGTTTGTTTGGAATTCATAATGCTCACTAAAATTTTTCTAAGAATGATTTTGACATTTATTCCTGGGACCCAATAAGTGTATCACTTCTTCCAGACTTACTCCCTTTTATTTTTTATGATGTTAGTCTCAGAAATGCTGCAAATAAAGATGTGTGTTTTGGCAAATCATTTCCCAAAATTTCCTATTCCTTTGTTTAAAAAAAAGGCGTAGAAATGTGCATAGACTGTGTGAACCTGCAGTATGATGAACAACAGACCTTACTGCCTTGTTCATCTTTGTGTCTCTAATATACAGAATAATGACTGATACAGAAAAGGCCCTCAAAACATGCTTGTTGAATGACTACTCCAAGGGTTCTGTTTATGGGTTGGTCTCATTCCAGCCTACAGAGGGGCCACTAATTATGTTTGCCATAGGATTCTACCCTCTTCCCAGACCTGATCAATGAATAACTTCGGGTACTCAGTGTGGACTGATTATGAACTCACTTCGTGGCACATCATAATCATTGGTCTGTGTGAGGCCTTGCTTTCATTCTTACACACTTTTTCTCCTTTACTTTCATCCCAGTCGTGTTTCTCCCATCCTTAAATATTTGATTTACAAAACTGGTCCTGTGTTAATATGTCTCATTTTATGCCATTCTGCTTTTTGAGGTTTATTCATGTCAATATATGAAAGTCTAGTTCACCCCCTTAACTGCTGTGCAATGCTTAGTCATTGATTCGTTCCTCTAATGAAGGTTATTTTAAACAACTCTTTATAATAAACAGTCTTGTTCTGAACACTTTTGGGAGTGTTTTTCTGGAGAACATACCCAGGAGTCAAATTGCTGGGTCACAAGTATGCACAGTGTCAATATCACTAGCAAGTAATGGTTTCTGTTCTTTGTGAACTAAGAGACCTGTCTGGCAGCTTAGCCTGATCATGATAGCCCCTTTTCTGCATGAATTTCTGAGAGCAACTGACAACTAAACCAGGCAGGCATATTCTCATCTGCTAGCAGCCTGGAGTGAGATGAATCTCCAACATAAGAATGAGAAAACCTCAACCTCAGAAATAATGCCTGACTTTTCAGGGTCTGGTGATGCAAACTGATTATACTACTTAAACTACAGTGTAACCTAAGAAGGCACATATCAGACTATGCTATGAGCAAAGAGAAAATAAAATATTTTTCCTTTTTACCTAAGAACATCATCTCAGAAAGGGAGTACAGCCATTGCAAAGGTGCTGACATTGGAGAAACAGCAAGGCCAGTGAGACAGTAGTAGGAAATGAGGTCAGAGAGACAGGGGAGAGGGCCTGTAGAAATAGACTTGTAAGCAGGCTGGGCATGGTGGCTCACACCTATAATCCCAGCACTTTGGGAGGCCGAGGTGAACAGATCACTGGAGGTCAGGAGTTCGAGATCAGCCTGGCCAACGTGGTGAAATCCTGTCTCTACTAAAAATACAAAAATAAGTCAGGCATGGTGGTGCACGTCTGTAGTCCCAGCTACTCAGGAAGCTGAGGCAAGAGAATCAGGAGGTAGAACCAGGAGGTGGAGGTTGCAGTGAGACGAGATAATGCCATTGCACACTAGCCTGGGTGACAGAGTGAAACTCTGCCTGAAAAAAAAAAAAAAAGAAAGAAAAAGAAAAGAAATAGACTTGTAAGCCAATTTATGGACTTTTGAATTTTATCCCAAGTGAATTGAAAGTTATTATAGGATTGTAAGGAAAGATATGACATGTCAGTTTTTAAAAAGTCAAAACTTATAATAGACTATATGGGGCCAGGGTGAGAGCTGCAAAAACAGTTAGGAGCTATTTAGGCTTTCTTTAGTTTTTATTTGCATTAATGAATTAAAGCTAATCCAGAAAGGAAATGAGAATGGCTTAGATAAAGGTAGCAGAGGTGGTGATATGTGATCAGATTCTAGATAAGCATTGAAGGCAGTGCCAAGAAGATTTTGTTGATGGATTAGACATAGAGCTACAGAGAACGAGAAGAGGCAAGAATGTCTCTTAAGGCCCAGCTTGGTAGCTCATGCCTGTGATCTCATCACCTTCGAAGGCTGAGGCAGGCAGATAGCTCGAGCTCCGGAGTTCAAGACCAGCCTGGGCAACATGGTGAAACCCCGTCTCTACAAAGAACAACAACAACAACAACAAATTAGGTGTGGAGGCATGCACCTATAGTCCCAGCTCCTCACAAGGCTGAGGGGAGGATCACCTGAGCCCAGGGAGGTCAAGGCTGCAGCAAGCCATGATCTGGTGGCTGTACTCCAGCCCGGGTGACAGAGCAAGACCCTGTCTCAAAATTATTTTCTTTTGACTCATTTTTATTTAGACTCTTAATGTTTTGGCACTGAGCAACTGAAAGAATGAAAGAATGGAGTTACTTTAACAGTGATGGGAGAATGCAGTTGGAGCAGGGATTTTTTTGTATTTGTTTTTTATTTTTATTGAACGTGTTAAGTCTGGGATATCTGTTAGTACCTCACACAAAGTTTGGCATTTAAAAAAAAGGAAGAGGCATTCTTGAGACAGCTTCTGCCCCTCAGTCCAGAAGCATTCCCCAGCCACACCTGTCAGTACCGGTGAAAGTTTTAATTACAGGCAATCCCCTTTTCTCTTCACCCCAGACACTGCTAAAGACCAAGAGTTTAAGAAAGCAGTATTTTTCTCAACTGGATTTTTATTTATTTATTTATTTTAAGACAAGGTCTCTCTCACCTAGGCTGTAGTGCAGTGGTGCGATCTCAGCTCACTGCAGCCTTGACCTCCCAACTCAAGTCATCCTCCAGCCTCAGCCTTCCGAATAGGACAACAGGCGCACACCACCATGCTGGCTAATTTTTGTATTTTTTGTAGAGATGGGGCTTTACCATGTTGCCCAGACTGGTCTTGGACTCCTGAGTTCAAGCTGTCCTCCCACCTTGGCCTCCCAAGGTGATTACAGGCAATTGCAGACTGGGATTACAGGCATGAGCCACTGCACCCGGCCCTCACTTGGATTTTTTTAAAGGATTTAGGCTTAAAATGCTGAAGGACATCCTGAAATTATCTGGTCTAAAATTAGAGAATTTTTTCAAAATCGATAGTTTCTCAGGAAGAATTGCTTATAATGTATTCTTTTTTTAAAAGAACTTTTAATCAAGTAAGTTAAATGTAAATGTTTCCTTAAGTTAGAATGTCAAAATAATTCATAGGAATTGGAGTTGAAATCACTTTTCTAATTACATCTACCCTGCAAAAACATATGACCAGAATTCTGATTCTGATAATAGCAGACAAGGTACTATGAACCAACTCTTCCACTGAGGAGAAGTGGAAAAGCTGGGAATAATGCTTTAAAAAAAAAATCTACCTAATGGCATTAGAGAACTAATTAGAGAGTGAAAGATTGCTAGATTAGAGGAGCATGGAGATAGACGGAGATGAGCCCTGTCTTTGGGGCCATTGTTTTTCTAGGTATCTTCTGATTCTAGGAGGGGCACCTGAGAAAGTGAGTCAAATGTTTGATAAGTTCACAAAAGAAAAAGACACCAAAGTTGAATTCTGGGAACTTCCAAGTTGGGGTTTGGGGAAAGACAGGACTGACTAACTTGCTCACTGATAATGTGGGACCCCAAAGGATGAGTAAGGGTGAACCAGACAGGCAGGCCATCCCAGGACTGTAGCTCACGTTTGAATATTCTTCTGCAGTTGGATTTCAGTGATTCCATAATGCTATAGCTTCCTGGAAATCCTCTCTATGAGGAAATATTATCATAGCTCTCAAATTATTTCTCAAACAATTTTGCAAAACATTTTAAAAGCTAGGCATATGAGAAGAAAAAATGACACAAAGGAAAACCCAACAGAAGCAACAGATAATAGAATACACTGAAGAGGAATATAGAATTGGAGTTATACAAGATTTTTAAATAACTATGTATACAGTGTTCAAATATAAGTGACAGGATTAAGAAGTTTAACAGGCCAGGCGCGGTGGTTCACACCTGCAATCCCAGCACTTTGGGAGGCCAAGGCGGGCGGATCACGAGGTCAGGAGATAAAAACCATCCTGATCAACAAGGTGAAACCTCTTCTCTACTAAAATACAAAAAATTAGCCGGGCATGGTGGCACACACCTGTAATCCCAGCTACTCGGGAGGCTGAGGCAGGGGAATCACTTGAACCTGGGAGGCAGAGGTCGTGCCACTGCACTCCAGCCTGGTGACAGAGTGAGACTCCACCTCAAAAAAAAAAAAAAAAAAAGTTTAACAAAATGCCGGGGGGAGGGGGAGGTAGGCGAGGGGGGCAGTTGGGGGCGGACAATGAAATGGAAATCCTGAAATTGGAAAACAACTGAAATAGTAGTGGATGGATATAGCATCAGATGAAACAGCTGAAGACAATAGCTTAGAAAAAAATATCCAGAATGAGGCACAAGGGGACAAAATATGGGCTATATAGGAAAAGGGTAAGACACAGAGAATATAGATCCAAAATATTTGTCATTAGGATTTCAGGAAAAATGAGAGGAAATGAGACAGACACAATATTTACAGAGAGAATAGGTGAGAACTTCCTAAGATTTATGAAGGGTATCAAGCACAGATTCAGGGACCATAAGAACCATATGAACCCCAAATAAGATAAATGAAAAAAATTATTTAGATATATCATAGTAAAACTACTAAAAATTAAAGTCAGAAATATATTGTTTTTTCTTTGAGACAGGGTCTTGCTCTGTTGCCCAGGCTGGAGTGCAGTGGTGCAATCTCTGCAACCTTTACTTCCCAGCCTCAAGCAATTATCTCCTCAGCCTCTTGAGTAGCTGGGACTATAGGTGCACACCACCATGCTTCACTAATTTTTGTATTTTTTGTAAAGACAGCATTTTGCCATGTTGGCCAGGCTGGTCTTGAACTTCTGAGCTCAAGCAATTTGCCCACCTCGGCCTCCCAAAGTGCTGGGATTGCAGACGTGAGCCACTGCACCCAGCGGAAGTATCTTAAAAGCAAGAAAAAAAAGTACCTTAAAAGAAGCAACAATTAGATTGGCAGCTAAGTAAAACAAAGTCAGTGCCAAAAGACACTGAAATTTGTGGAAAGTAACTGCCAACACAGAATTCTGTACTAAGCAAAGCATTTTAAGAACAAAAGTAAAGACATTTTCAGATAAATAGAAGCTGAGATAAATCAACATCTAGAGGTCCTCAAAACACTCAAAACAAAGCTGGAAACAGTACATATTCCCACCAGCAACATGGAAGAATCTCCTAATTCACAAAGCACTGGGTAAAGTACTTGGAAGGGGTCTGCCTCAACAGTGAGTAATAGGTAGCTATATTAGTTTCCTATTGCTGCTACAACAGATGACCACAAGCTGTCACTTAACACAAGTGTATTATCATCCAGTCCTGGAAATGAGAAGTCCAAAATGAGTATTACTGGGCTAAAATCTCTTTTTTTCAGAGCAGAAGAACTTGAGGGGTAAAATCAAGATGTCAGCAGAGATGCATTCATTTAGGGGACTTAATGAGGAGAGTCTGGTTTATTGTCTTTTCCAGGTTCTAGAGGTTGTTCACATCCCTTGGCCCTATTTTTCCATCTTCAAAGCCAACATTGAGTTGAGTCTTTCTCATGTCATATCATTCCAAGCTCTCTTTGGACTCCCCCTTCTACTTTTAAGGATACTTGTAATTACATTGGGCCTACACAGATAATACAGGATAATCTCCCTATTTTAAGGTCAGGTGATAGCAAACCTTAAACTTCCCTCTTGCCACATAACATCATATTCACAGATC